GGGGGGGGGCGGCAAACGCTCTTTTCTTCTGCTCACTGCTGACATGAGGCATAGTTTCATTATAATGCTGGACCAACAATGAACTGGCTTTGAGTTCTCAGCTCCACCTACTTGCCAAGTAGCCAGGCATTCATGCAATAAACCTAATTTCTTATTGCCAGGAAATCTCCTGTTTAGGTGCAGTCTCTTCCATATCAGGAGCAAGCACATCTTCAGCTGCATTAGGACCCTTGTTCTTCCTTCTGTTTGGAAGAGGCCAGGAGCCAACAGGAGAGGCTCTCTGGGTCTGCCTATAGACATAGGGGTTACTGCCTGGGGCTTGGGACACATGATGGGATGCTGAGGAAGAGCATTCTGGGATTGCACAAAGCTTATTATGGGGCATTGAAGGGCAGAAGCAAAGGCAGAGACAGGGAAGGGATCAGGGTGATTTGGGGAGGCGCAAGCATGGGAAAATAAGAGGGATGAGGGGCTAAAAGGGGCCAGTCGCATATAACTGGGCTGCTGGTCAGTACGCTTGCCTGGCCATGCCCTGTACCTGATGGGTGCCATCTGTCCCATTTTCTCGCTAAGCTCCCTTTCTAACTCTTTTCCTGGGTGTGGGGCTCTGCGTGTGTGTCTGGAGGGCTAAGTGCCAGCAACTGGGGTCAGCCCTTGGGCGAGCAGGCCCTTGTGTCTGCGTCGGCAGCGACCGGGGTGAGGGAGCCAGGAGGTTGTGTGTCTGGGAGTGAAACAACTGGAAAACACTGTGAAACCTTTCACCTTTAATACCCCTCAGAGCTGACAAGATGACCTTTGGCTGGTGTAATTTTATACTCCTTCTGGCTGTCTAGTATCTGTTAACTGAATGTTGCTGTTTGCTTACTAACATTTTTAACTTCTGAAACAGATTCTTCAAGTGCACTGCTTTGCTTAAACAGCTGTGTGAAGGACTCTTAATCTGCTTTTAATTATGGTGTCTCCTGAAACTCTTCAGCCTCCTCCACACTGCTATTTAAGGCAGCAGCCTGCCCAATCTTACTCCTCTAAATCTGCCGTGGTGAAATGTAGTTCCCTCTTACTAGTACAATGAGATTGATGATTTTAGATTATGCATTTATATGAAAAAATTACTTTCCTCAGCAGCAAAAGCAATTACTATGGCATCTTTCCAGATCTTACGAACTGGCTTTTTAGCAGATGTGCTCTAAACAGCCACACTTGCCTGTGATTAGTTTGACATCTTTTTTTCAACCTGGAAGGGCCCATCTGCCTTGAACGGAGGTTGACAGACCAGGCTTTCGGTCAGCTTCTTCTTGCTTAGAAACTCTAGCCCTACTTTATCCCCTTTTCTTATGAGCCTTTCAAACATGTCCCTTTTTTTTTAGTAAAGCAAGTTAGAGAAGACCATGAAAATCAACATTACAATAGATTTCTTTTAAATGACAGTCAGAAGCAGGCCAGCAGAACATACAGGTGCTGAGAGGTATCACTACAAAGGGACAAACTGCTGGTCTCTGCAGCCCCTTTTAATCTGCTGGCCATACTACAACTGTGCGTGTATGTCAATGTCACAATCCCTCCCTCACACTGTAAACACAAAATCTTAAAACTAATTTTTCTTACTCTTCCCACTTTCATCTCTTCTAATAGCTGTAGAATTGAAAGGTATAGATTCTATACTCCTTAATCTTTAACTTAGAAAAGACCTGTAGGAGAAGAGATTCATAATCTTGCAAACTAGTAAGCCTCAACTAGCCAGGCTCAACAGGAGCGAATTTTGGGTTTCAGCATCGCTCTGGACACCTCTGTGTACTGAGAAAGGGGTATTAACAGTAGGGCAGTATGGCAATTCCCTTTCACCCAAGGGTGATTCTGCAAGTGTCTGCTACGAAGTCACATTCTGGCTGCTTTTGCTGGTGATACTCAGAAAAAGACAAACAGAATCAAATCCAAAACTACTGACATACATGATGTGGTTATACAGCATCATACACATCTTTCTTACCCCACTCATAAAACGGTGCCACTTCCAAATTGATGCCTGGCTTTCCTGCTGCCTTCTGCATGGGCTGGACTGCTGAAAAATCAGAAGTTACAGTATAAAAGTCATAATGACTGAACTGACGTTATAAACTATGCAAGATGCTAACCTAGAACCTCCTCCCCTCACCCAAATAATGATCACTTAAATTATAATGATAGCTAACTATACAAAATATTTTAATTGTTCTTTTTCTCTTCAGAGACTGTTTCCAGTTGTAATTGAATGTATGTATGTGAGCTGTGAACCAGTCTTGAAAATAAAGAGTGCAATTCCAGAGTGTAATCCTATCTCATTATAGCTAAACTTAAGAATCTTAACCCTGCCTTTTCAGAGACCTTGAGCATTTGCACTTCCTCAGTTTTAGCTGCAATTAGGTCTGGGGCTTGTATCCAGGATGAGTTTAAGACAAGCAGTAGAAGAAATATGGCAGAAAGTGAGAAGACTGTTTCTGTTCACTTGATGAAGTGAACACTTTCTCAGATTTTGTGCTTGCAGTTTAATCATGGAAATCATTATGTGCTTTTACTGCTAATGATCTGATTGTTAGGAGAAAGGTGGGCCCCAGTCCTATTGACTGTTTACATCTTAATGTCCTCTGCTTTTGAAATTCACTTCCAAACTAGCTGAAGTCCTATTGTGCAGCATTTCCTCTGCAGCACCACACATTTTCAATCAGCGTCAGCTCCTTACCATAACTGCTTCCTGCCTTGGCTTCTGTTTAGCACTGCAACTCACTGCAAAACTGAACTCCCATCAGTTACGTAGAGATGAAATGGTATGTAGGTGGCAGCTAGTAAGAACTATTTTCTGCATCATGAGCAGAGCTGAAGATGGAAATCATACAAGTGAGATTTCTCAAACATCTGAGCACAAAAATTATAGAAAGTATTGGGGGGAGAGGGGGAGGAACCTTCTATGTGACGCTCCAGTGTCTTAAAACATTTGAGTAGAGAATGTTTTCTCATAATTTCTCCGTATGCGTCATATGACACGCACAGTAACCACATCTATGTTAAACAGAACTTAAGCCTATGATCAGCACTCCTGTAAAAACCCAACTTTGCCAATATTTAACAGGTTCCTATCCTGATTCCTTCTACTTTTTGATGGATTTCACTACTTTAAAACCCTGGTTCTTGCAATTCTCAATCTGTATAACAATTTCCATGCAGTGCACCATCATCACTGCTTTTGACACGGAAAGATATTCACCGAATTCACCAATAAGAAAAATCTGAAGTATAAAACAAAAGATGACTAGAGGGGGAAAAAAAATAACCCCACACTAAACCACTGGTGCCTGCCCTGGGCCTCTACATGCACTTCTGTCCCCTCAAGCAATGAAAAATGTTTGGTCCGTTGCTTCTCCTGTCCAAGAACGCTACCTGCAGGCAAGATCAGAGTGGAGTGAAACTTCCTGCCATTAGGTGGCTGTTACTGATGTAAGGCTGCACAGTATCAACACTTTCCTTAATGTGAGTTCCTGGAACGTGCTGTAAGGCTCTAGGAAGGAAGACATTACCACTCAGATAAGGTCAGGCTTTTAGTATTGGGAAGAAATTACTGGCAAAAATATGAATACTATTTTGTTTTCAACTTTGACTTCTACCTTCATCACTGGAGCTTTTATTTTCTTCAGGGAAGATGTAGCTACTGGAAGACATAGCTACACATCTATAATTACTGTAAAAATTACTGTAAAAAATCCCTGGAAAAGGAGCATTGTCAGAAAAGGATCCAAAGACAGAATATAGCATGCTGGAAGAAGGTGGGGGCAAGGGGGAGCATTTTGTTTTATTTGTCCTATATCAATACAATTCACTTTCTGTGTTTACTTTTCCCTTGTGCTGATATTGTTTTAGTAGCAAAAGGGTGTTTTGTTACACAATATTTTGTTGATTGTTAATTTCATTAAACTGATGAATTCTTTTGATATATACAATCTTTTGATATATACAATCATTAGACTTTACTGACTTTCAGTAATTACAGACAAATCGTCATTTCTTATCCGATGTCTGTTCAGCAATTCCCTGGAAAAACGTGGACAGAAAACTACAAGACATTCCTTTACTAGGTCACAAGACCAATAAAGGAGAAAAAGGTTTTGCTTGGCCTCACATACTCCACCACCACCAATCTCTGAGAACAAACTGGAAGTTACAAGAACTTGAGAACACCAGATTTCTGGAGAACAAACAGCTTCAGCTCTATGTATTTGGATTCCAACCCGTGAACTTGCAAGGAAAAGCTCCAGATCTTATTTAATATTAAAATCAATATAAAACCCCATAAACATGCATTTTAAAAATCTTATCTTTTAGAGAGCACATTTATATACAGAGAGAAAAGGTAAAACCTGCTGGCATGTTAAAGGGCATGAAAAACAACTCTGTACAATAGCATCAGCTTCCTCTCACTGCCACATCAGTATTTCTGGTGGACAGTGAATAAGATGCGTAACACGTGAGACAAGCTCTGCACAGTATAACTTGGCTGTTACCTATGTATAAAGGTCTGTTAAGTGTAATCCTTATTTTCAATATTAAGGCAAATTTTATTCAAAAATATTTTCTCTATTTAAAGTACTCCTGTGTCTTCCAAACTACACTCTAGCAAGAAAACAGTTACACATTAGCAGATACAGGTTTTTCCACTTTCTACCTATCTTATCCAAATTTTGGGCAATACCACAGCTGTTGAGGGGAAAAGCTATAGAATGAGTTACTCTAGACTTTATTGGCCTTTGATTCAACACGTATATTTCGTTTATGATCTGTTTCCTGTTCAAAATACTTTTTTTTTCTGTAGACATCAAGAAACCAAGAATTCCTGCAACTCTGATAAGTTTGTGAGACTAAAGAATAGTGTTTCATAAACATCAAAAGCAACCAATTACAAGAGTATGTCATTAATTTGACTGTGAAATCTCGCAACATTTTTACTTTTTTACTACAGAGGAATCACAAAAATCAGTTTTCTACTTACAGTCAGAAATACATTTGTTCAATAGCTCTACTACTAGTAATACCCTGCATTAAAAAAAAAGTCATCGTTAAATTGACTATTATACAATCTGTCCCCAAATAACTAAAACATTGGAGTTAAACAATGGAGTTAAAACAAAACATTGGTTTACCTTCAGGACTGAGATTTCTGCTTTAAGAATGAAGTATATATACACAATATCAGGACTATCACTGAAATGGCCTTGCATTTCCCAATTTACGTTTTAAAGTAGAATTATGTAGCATGAAACCCCAAAGTAAATCCAGTGAAAAAGTCTTAGTAAAACGTAGAAATTTTAATTTACATGTCAAACTATAACATATTCATAATAAAAAACTGGTGACTAAACAAGTTACACAAAATCTGTAAAAACTGTCCATGCTGTTTAAATAGGTCTGTACAACCAAAGATTTACAGAGTCTTTGTGCATTTTTTCCTTTAATGCACAACTGAGTTCAAAGGTTCTGCACGAATATTTCCCAAGTCAAGAGCTGAATCTGTCTCTTCATCAATTTCACCAATGACAGCACTGTAATAATAATTAAAAAAAAAAAAATAATAAAATTTTATCTTAAACCTGTATCATTTGAACTTCAGATTCTGATGGTTTTAAGTACAGTCTAATGGTTGTAATAGTGTTTTCTTTTGATATAGTGATAAGAGCCGAATACTACTAAACTGTTTTAGGCACTGGAAATCTTTTAGCAAGAGAATAGTTTTTCAAGAGTAATGTGCAACTGTAGCAATTTATAACTGCCTAAGAAATAAGATAAGCAAGACATAAAATTAATTTCCTTCAACAAAGCTTAATAAAATGTTATTAGTTTATCCTTCAAGGAAGAACACATAGCACTTCATCTATGCTATGATAAGACTATCTGGACTAAAATACTAGCGGACTTAATAAGCTGCCTTAGAGGAAAAAAACATGATTAAGGTAATAGAAGTCGTGCTAGTCCAGGATGCTGGGAGCTAGCCCAGAGGGAACACAAGAACGAAGAGATCAACCTTCCTTCTGGCGTACCCTTCTATTCTGCAGTTTCCTTCTAATAGTTTTTCCACTTGCTGTTGAAGCACGTTTGAATTTTTTGATTGATGGTACATATTTTACTACAAGCTTTTAGTATGTACCTTTGACACACAGCAGAATCTCTGAAAACATTTTACCCCTTAAACTGTTCCTTTTTATTTATTTTTCAATAGCTGCTTTATTTTCTCAGATCCCCCTTTTTTGAAGTTACTGTTTCCTCCAGAACAGCCCTCCAATCTACCCTTTTCTCAATCACATTAGATAAACGTATCTTGACAAAAATGCAAGTCTTGACATTTCTTTGTTGAGGAACATCCATCAGAATTAGAACACCAAAATTCTTATCCAGCCTCACATGCTGGTTGCTCCAACATCCTTTTTTCTGGTTTTGATAAAAAAATAATCTCACTGTTTTGCCATTCGTTTCAGAACGCTGCTGCAAAAACCATCTTCCTAGCAAGCCATTTTACCAGGCCTTCTTTCCACTTCTCTTGTAATCCATCTCTGTTTGACACATCGGCTACTCTTCTCTCTTTTCTCTGCTTTCAATGAACTTTTACCCTTATTCTGTAATGGCATTTGATATAAAGTATCAGCTCTCACCCTTGATCAGCCACTACATCAGCTTCCGCTGTCCACTTGCTACTCTGTCAAGCCAGCACCTTCAAGCATTTTCCAGATAACAAAGTAATTTCTGCAAACATCTTATCTTAACTCTCCCTTACTATGGCAACAAAAAAAAAAAAAAAAAAAAAGACGTTAACCTGGTGTACCCAGATTGCTGGCTTGTTGCATGTAAATACTATCTCATTGTTTCTTCATTCTTCCATCTTCTGCTCCATCAGTACCTTCCTCTCTTCAGATTGAGATTAAAAACTTGTGTACAATGACTCAAGCAAGGAAAATGCTCGGAACTTTAAACTGACCCTTCCTAGATTGCTATCAGTACATAAACTTGTTAACTTACAGCTCAGTAAATCTAGATCAACAATAACTTAACATTACAGTGCTATCACTTCTGTAACAGCAACACAGATACTGCTTCATTTGTCTCAGCTTTGATAGCTTTATCTGTGCTACCTGTGGATACAAAGATGTAGGATGTCTTAGGTTATCAAGATGTATAGAGATACACAATTGCTTATATAAATATACACTGTACTCCTAATTAAATTGGTTTAAATGTGAACATACTATACTTACACATTATCACCTCTTACAATGTATAATCCTAGTACAACCTGTTCAACTCCTTGTGAAGAACTGAACACTCGTTCATGGCTTTCATCCAAAATCAAATTAATGGTCTGATCAAAACCTTTGAGGGTTCCCTGAAAAAGCACACAAAAAGTAAGCACTTCAATAACCTTTTAAATTTATCATCTTTGCTCTCAAGGGTATCTTAAAAAGTAAAGTGGCGCTAAGGTACTACAGAACAGATGCTTTATTTCAGTTTTATTTCTAAGCTTACATACATACAGATGGAGAACAAAATTTTAGAAGCAATAATCAATTTAAGAAGAATATCTAATATTTACTACTGAGTATTCATACTAACAGCTACTGTAATCTTTAACATTAGAAGAAAAGCAGTTGCCCCTGTCCCCATGACAGCTCTCTAGACAGTTAATGTTATTATTTCTACAGTATTTTAGTCTTTCTTGTATGGAAATTTCAGGAAAGAAAAAAAAAAAAATCAAAGAACAGAAAAATTAGATTTTTATATTCAACAGCGCTGAGATCATTTTAAGGAGCAATTTTAATTGGTGATTCTGTAAAGGAATCTCAATTTTTTTCCCACAAAAAAGCTCCAAAGGAAGAATTTCTGTACCACTTCAGTATGAATTTAGAAAAAAAAAAAAAAGATAACATAATCAATTGCTAAATTCCACAAATCAATTAAGAAATTTAAATTTACACAAGATACTATCACTTAAACAGTAATAATAACCATTTATACCATCTAACTGTGTGACAACAATTCATATATACCAATTCAATTTAAATCTTTGTGGTAGAAAGGTATCCTGCATCACAACCAAAGTTTCCCAGACTGGCTCCAACAAGACAGAGAATTGTCCAAAGCTAAGATATTTCTGCTGAAAATACAAACTTCCTAGCTTTATTTTTTAATGTTTTCTCCTTCCAGAAGCCACACTAAACTGTATACATATGGACAGGAACATATAATCCTCATGCAATGATCATATCATTAAGTTAAACTCAAAACATAAAAGAATATCAGAGAGGGGGGAAAAAAAGAGAACCATGTGAAAATAAAGAACAGTGAAGCAATAAAAATAAAACATTATACAGTCTAACACAGAGTTGTCAGTCCTCGGCTTTTCCGATTTAAACAGAATTCCACAATAAGTTCTTAGTTATCAACTATGTTTTTTCTGTAAGCTTATGGAAGAAATGTTTTTAACATGAAAGTTAAGGTAGAGAGCTTACTGAAGAAAGGGTGCGCTGAAGTGAAAAAGAAATGCATTCTCTTATCCGTTTCTATAGAAAAAGCCATTTACAAAGAGTCAAAACAAAGCATTTGCATGTATGAATTTATCAAAGGGCAAAGCTCACAGGCAACAACCAGTACCTGTTTAAATCATGCAATACAAAATACCGGTGATAAAGCTTAAAAAAGAAGGTTTGTAAAGGCGTGAACATTTAAGTGTGTATGCTTCAGCATTGTTTCTTTATTCCCATGGAAGAGTCTTTATGGTAGCAAAAGATGTGTAAAAGTACAAGTCTCACCACAATCATTCTTCCATCAGAAGTAATTACTGCAACAGTACCTGATAGTTCATTAAGGAAATGCTTTGAGACATCTGAAACAGAACCACTATAACTTTCTGAAGCAGTGATAACGTAAACTTTATTAGGAACTAGAAAAGCCTTTAAGAACAAAAGACAAGCAGCATTGTCAACAGCAACATTTGACAACAGACAAGCTCTCTTTTTTATTACACCAGTCAGCACCAAAATTTCGCTTTAGCCTGACCACGGAGCCATAAGCAAACACGATCATCATTAAAAGCACACTACACATCAGAATTCCACTGCTCTTCCCATTACACAGTGTACTGCTCCAAGGCAAAGCAGCAGACTATCAGATAGCAAGTGTGTAACAAACTGTTTTATAAACACGATGGACTGCCACTTCGAGCTGTGTCCTTAAAAACAGCTTAGCGGTGGGGACCCTGAGTCTGGCATTCTACCTCCCCTCACTCTGAGGCTCTGACTACCCCAATTTAATGATCACATTTCCATCGACCTGACTGACTATGGGCTAGGACCTCTGCATTTGTGAATTAACCGAAATTAGCCATAGGTCGCTAAGAGTACCGAAACTTCGCAAGAAAAGGGTTCCAAGACCACCAGCTCCCAGCTTTTGAGTGAACGGCGTAAAGCTGACGGCTAAATAGATGTTAAGAGCCCGGGTCCGCTGTGTCTGCCTCTTCTGTCTACGGTAGTATCGGCAAGGTCTGGACGCGCAGCCCTGGGGTAACCCTGCCGCAGCACCAGAGGCAGCGCTGTTCTCTCGCTCCCTGCCAGCCTCCCAGCCAGCCCCACGGAAAGACAAAAC